CACCATTATCATAATCAGCAGCATCATCACCATAATCAGCATAATCATGTGCATGAGATCCATCATCACCACCATCAACATCACCATCAAAATCATCATCACCAACATCATCATAATCATCATCCTCGTCATCGTCACCAGTATCGGAATCATCACTGTCATAATCAGCATCACCATCACCACCATCATCATAATCATCATTATCAGCAGCATCATCATCATCAATATCATCATCATCAGCACCATCACCATCATCATCATCATCGTCATCAGCATCACCATCATCATCAGCACACTCATCATCAGCATCATCACGGTCTTTCAGTACGGGGTCCCAGCGATGCCCGTTTCTTGCCAGTCGTTTAACCTCTTCTTGAGGGCCCTGCGGGTAAAGGACCCCAACGGGACCTTCAAATGACCCCACGTGACCTGAAAACTGATGACCCCCGTCAGACCATAATATTACCCCTGGGGGACCTGAACATGACCCCCACGACGGGCATTTGAAATGACCCCCACGGGACCTTAAAACTACCGCCATGGGACTGTAAAATTACCCCCACGGGACCTTAAAATGACCCCCGTGGAAGGAATGAAAGAAGGAAAGACGCGCTGCGGGGGGTGTCTCGCGCCCGTGCCTAGGGAGGCGCCGGGCTCGCTGTTAAGTGTGTTAGGCTGACGACGTAGCCATCACTGGCTGAGAGCCGGCTACTGGCTGAGAGCCGGGCCAGCAAAGGGCTTGGCCGGGCGAAGGCTAAAGGGCTGGCCAAGGGCTGGCCAGGGGCCAAGGGCCAACGAAGCCGGCTAGTGGCCGGTTCGGGTAAAGTTCATGGCATACGGGCCATGCTGGAGGAGCTCGTAAACAGACGCGATTAAGGGCCAAATGCTTAAAAGCATGGGGCCGGGTGGTCAGCAGGTAAGGGCCTGGTGGTCGAAAAAAAAACAGCCAGGTGGCCCAAAATAATGGCCGGGTGGCCAACAATTAACGGCCGGGTGTTAGAAAAGAACGGGCTAGGTGGTCAAAAGGTAAGGTCTGGGTGGTCTAATAAAGAACGATTGGCCCCCTAAAAGAGTGCAACCGAAAGTAAAGGGACGGGTGGTCAAGAGTTCAGGCCTGGGTGGTCAAAAGTTCAGTGTTGGGTGGTCGAAAATGAAGGGCCGGGTGGCCAAAAAGTAAGGGCTGGGAACTCACAAGAAAAGGGACGGGTGGTCAAGACATAGGGGCCCCAAGTGCTCCAAACGTGGGACAAAGCGGGAACCCAAATCAGATGTACCTGGGGCCCAATTCGTCCTACCTCTCGTCCTCCTCCCCATCGCCCGAATCCTGCCATCCTCCTGTCATCCTCCTCCGCCTCCTCCTCCTCCGACTCATCCTCCTGATCGAGATCCTGATCCTCATCCTCCCCCTCCTCCTCCTCGTCATCATCATCAACGTGATCATCACCAAAACCGTCATCATCATCACCATCCGCATCATCAACATCATCGTCATCATGCTCATAGCCAGCACCATCATCATCATCATCATCATCATCATCACCGCCACCACCACCACCATCATCATCATCATCATCACCATCATAATCCTAATCATCACCATGATCATCATCATCATCATCATCATCATCATCATCTTCGTCGTCACCATCGTCACCAAAATCATCATCATCATCACCAACATTATCATCAACATCATCATCATCATCATATGTTTCAACCTCGACATCATCAGCACCATCACCTCCATAATCGACATCCGCATTTGCAGCATCATAAGCATCGTCATCAGCAGCATGATCAGTAACATCACCAGCAACAGCAGCAACAACATAATCATCAACATCAGCATCATCAGCATCAACATCCTCGACCTCATCATCATCATCATCATCGTCATGCGCATCACCCGAATCACCATGGGCAGCATCATCATCATTCTATCCACGATCGTGCTCCTGAACATATTGCTTGCCTTGCTTGCCGCCGCAAACACTCCTCCCCGCAGTACGCGGCGGCCGAGCGCAACACCGCAAGTTGTCCGCGGCGCCCTGGCTGCGCGGAGAGCTCGGCACGGAGGACATCACCGAACCGCGCCCTTCCTTGCAGGGGCAAGGGGGGGCGGGGCGCAGGAGAGAGGGGGGGGAAGAGGAGGGGGAGGGGGACGGGGGACGGGGGGGGGAGGAGGAGGACAGGAGGAGGAGGAGGAGGAGGAGGAGGAGGAGGAAGAGGAGGAGGAGGAGGAGTAGAAGGAAGAGGAGGAGGAGAAGGAGGAGGAGGAGGAGGAGGAAGAGGAGGACGAGGAGGAGGATGGGAAGGTGGTGAAGGGGGAGGAACACGATCCTTGACCCCCGCAGCCAAAGGATATGTTTTTGTGAAGGCAAGCGAGGCGGCGAGCCCAGCAGAGCGCAGGGCCAGCGACTGTGCAATGGCGAAGCCGATACCGGCCGAAACGAAATCAACAGCTTGAAACCATGCTTCCGATCCCGCAGGTAGGACTGGCCGACAGGCCGCACACCCCCAGACGTCGGAGCTCGGATCTGCGTCGGACGAAACAACGAGCAGGACTAAACGATGCCAGCAATCAGTCTGGAGGTCCGCAAGGACTCTGCTATACTAGTGAAGGAGGACGCGGCAGCCGAGGCGAACTTTGGGGGATATGGGGTAGCTATTTGAGTCCACGCGTTAATTGTTCCAAGGGGCGTTGCCAGACAGGGTGATGCAAGGTCGTCCCAGGCGCGTGCAAATGTGGCGGCTGGCGTGGCAAAGCCTGCTGATGGCGGGGGAGAGATGCGGAGCACTCCAGGATATAATCGCCGTTTTTTCCCCCAGAGGGGTGCCGCACTGACAGAAATCATTTTTTTCGAGCACGAAACATATCGTGCTTCGCGAACTGAGCGAGAGGAGGCATCGACACATCTGACAAGCGCGAAATCTCAAGAAACACAATGCAATAAACGGCAAATGCAGCCCGCACGATCTTCCTGCTGGTTTTGAAGGTAGCGCTGCCTGAACACAAACGGGCGCGTTCAGCATCTGATAAATCTGGCAAGCCCTTCGGGAAGTCGGTCGATCTGACGTTTCTGCAAAACCCGACCGAAGGTAGCGCACGGGGCCCCCATCCGGATGCCAATGACAGCCCGGGATCGCACCCAGACATCCAAAATCTTCAGAGCACACGCCCGTGTCACGCCCTCCCAAAAGCCTCTGAGGAGATGCAAAAAGGCGGCCCGTACCCTTGCATTCTGACGTTGTCCGAGAGGCTGCTGCTTCCCGAGAAGTGCTCCAAGAAGACGCAGCGCTTGAATGTTGCGGTCTTTCGCCGCTCTTGGTTAGAATGCGGTGTAGACAGGCAGGCTTCATCATCCGAACAACTCGTTCCTTCGCCGGCGCTAAGGGGGCGAGGCCTCTCCTGCGCGGGCAGTGCCCCCGCCTAGGCCTGATGTCTCGAAGCCGCTCCGGATCTCCAGCGGGATCTTCGGCCGCAGGCGCTGGTCGCGGAGGCCCGACTGGAGGGCTAGGGTGAAATTGTCCTGTATCAACTGACCGAACGCGTGCAAGGGTGGCGGCGCCTTCGCCCTCTCCATGAGCAAGCGCGTCTCCTTGCCGTGACGGCGCAGGCTGCGCCGGTCTCGCCGCTGTCCGCGGCGCTCCACCTCGGCGAGGGCGCGCCTCTTGATCGCTGGACCGCCCGCCGCCCCCACGCGCCTCAGGCAGTAGAGGGAGGGCTCGATGGGGCTGCAGGTTGAGGGGCTTCACGCGCTGGTTGAACAGCTTCCGCAGCGCGGCTGGCGCGAACTTCCACGGACTCGACTGGCCCGCCGTCGCGCCCTTCAGCGCGTCGAGAGCGTCCAGCAGCTAGTTGTCTAGGTCCGCCAGCGCAGGGCCGCCCCGCTCGCCCGTCTCGCCGGCCTCCCTGCCCGAGTCGCTGATCAGGATTCCCCAATGGACGTGCTGTGGGCCTGCCGTTGGCAAGGCCTGATCAGGCGGTCGGACTGGAGCTCGCAGGCCTCCTTCGGTCGCAGGCGTGAGGCGAGCGTCAGCGCGATCCAGATCGCCGCGCGGGGATGCTCCATGTAGCGCAGGGCGCTCGCGTTGGCGACCGCGGCCGCCCCGGGCAGCGGGGCCCGCTGCGAGCTGAGGGCCCGCTCCTTCCATGACACACATGCCCTGGGCGACCCTGGCAATCGAACCCTCGGGGGCCTGCGGTGCGCGGGCGCGAAGCGGGCCAAGGCTGCCGGCAGCTTCCTTGTCGGGCACGCGGCCGCCCAGGCAAATCACCGCCCGATCCAGCCCCGCAGCGGCGGGCCAATCGAGGCTCGGGCGGTGGCAGAAGTCCACGAAGCCCTGCAGCAGCGCCCGGTAGGCGATCTCCGTGTCCGACAAGACCGCCCCGTGCTCCAGGAGGGCCAGGCGGCCGCTCGGCGGCCGGGCTACCTGCGGCAAGCTGGCCGCCGCGGCCCGGGCCGCCAGGGCGGGGGGCCGCGCGGCGGGCCGCCGCATGACGACCTGCAGAGGTCAAGGCTACGACCCCGCCATCTCCTTCAACATCAGCAGCCCTGGACTCGAGGTCGCGCCGCCCCGCCAGGGCCTCTTGCCCTGGGGGCGCCGTTTGGGCAGCGGGGCGGCCGCGGTGGGGGCCCGCGAACCGCCCGCTGTCATCGAGACGGCTCGTCAGCTGGATTGAACTCACTGGGAAACCGTCGCGCCTGCAATTTGGCCCCGTGGCCAGAGACAAAGCGGCAACCTCGCGGAGAGCGCTACGGCGGCGCTTGGATGAGGCCCTGCCTTTGGCGGACAGGGGCCAACGGCGCGTTGCCGACTGGCGCTGAGACGCGAGACCCACCGGCAGCCCGAGATCGAAGCAGACGCTTGCCAGACCATCCCCCTCGAGCCCCAGGACGTTGCCGGGCGCGACGACCCTCGACGCGAGCACGACGCTCCAAGCCCCCTCGCCTAGAATCGCCCCCGGGACGATGCCACTGAGGATCACCCGCGGATGAACAAGTAGACGACAGGGCAGACGGAGGTGACGAGGTAGCTGAAGCATCAGCACAGAGTGCACGATCCTGCACCTGGGCGCCGCCCTCAATCTTACATCGCCATCGTTCACTGCGTCGGCCTATCCTACCCGCGAACTCGGGCTCCAGCGAAAGAGTGCAGACTGCGACTCCACAGGTGCATGCGTTCAGGCAGGCGACCGCCGGATGAGCTGCAGGGGGCTGCGCGCCTGCCACACCACGCGCAGCACAGAAGGCCAGGTGTCCACCACCAGAGTCGGGCCGGCAACGACACAGGCATAGCGCGCGTCCAGGGCCACGAGGGCCTCCCTCTCGAGTAAGCAAACCCCAGCAATGTGGCCCACCAGGACCTGTAGCATGGCTCCGCTAAAGCACCGACAACGGATCGCCACCTCGATCCCCAAACGGAGCATCCAGATGTTCCGCCGCATGATACTCAAACGCGTGCCCTCAGACAGTTCCATGCCCAAGAATGCACAGTCAGTAGAACCCTCTGACAAGTCCATGTACCGCGAGCCCCATTTACCCTAAAAGCTGTAGTAATAGACTGCGTAGATGCCATAGTCTTGTCGCGATCCAACGCATGCGGTGCTGCCGACCTGCTGCGGGTCTAGAAAGCGCGCCAGCTCGGCCGCCCTCGACCCGAGAATATCCATGGAGCCCCTTTTCAGAAATACTGTTTCTCAGAACGTGGCCCAGAACCAAGCCCGTCGGAAGAACTGCGAGGCGCGGCAGGAGCGGCGCGCCCGGGGGTGAGGCACACCCGAACAGGAAGAAAACTCTCACGCGCGTGGAGTCGATCACCGGGAGCGAGAAACGCTGCCCCATGCCCGGTGGTAACCCCAGCCGGTAAGAAACGCAATCCAAATCGCCTGGAACAACATGCACGGGCCTCTCTGAAATGCCAACGACGAGAACGCACTCCAGGTTGGCAGCCGGGTGATCGGAGGTGTCTTGAAGTGCGCGTTGACAAACCTCGCGTCAAAAATGATCCGCGGTCGACCGTTTTTCTTGGCTACAGAAAACCACCCCAGTTGCCCCTCGCACCCGGCTGCAACCTCCCACCCAAGCGTTCCACGCTGAAAGAGGCGCAAGGGAAAGAAGGAAAAAGGAGCAAAACAAAACAAACAAAAACTCTGCGCAGGTGGAGGGCTGCTGCTTCAAAGCGCTATCGACGAACACGCCGCGCGGGCGGGCCTCTCGCTGCAAGGTGACGGCCCCCTGCTCAGTTCTCCGCAAATGTCCGCGCGAGCCGCCGAGGCGCCGACGATCGGGCGGGCCGAGTGAATCTGCCAGAGGGGCGGGCTAGGCTCCAGCTCTGGCCAGGAAACAAGGTCCTTGACAAACGGGCGGCGTGGGCCAAGGTAAGAGGGGCGGGACGGTGGCCTGGCAAGGAGGGCGCCGAGGGCTTCCTTGCCAGAGAAAGATCACCTGGACGCGGTCCGATTTGAACGCATCTGCGGGCGACATGGTCGAGACCCTGGGCCTGGCTAGCGTCGGCAGGAGCAGATTGGGGCGAAGAAGGGGAGAAACCAGGGTGGTTAAAATCAGTCGAGCGATCGACAAAAGTCCCGGGCGGGCCTGGCAAAATCGTCGAACAACCGTCAAATTCATGCAGACTCTGGATTGCATCATCAGCCCAGTCCAGAGCAACTGTGGCCATGCGCTGGCGGCGAAACGCGCTGCGGACCCCTCGTCCAGTCGGCGCGGCTCGGGGCCGCCGCAAGAAGGAAGCAGGAAGATGTCACGCTGCCGCCAGGACTCACAGGGGGTCTTCTCGGCTGCGGCGGCGCCCCCAGAGCCGCCGAGGTTACAGCTGGCCATTGCCACCGCCGGCGCCATGGGAGTCGTTCGGCGTCGTAATTCGGCTTGCCGTTTGGCCGAGCAAGTTGCCGTTCTTCCCTGGCCTTCCAGCGCTTTTTCATCACCGCATATTCCTTTCCCAACTCGGAGGTGGCCCACTAGTGTAACAGTGAGCACGCACAGCAGCTCCCACGCAACATGTACGTTTGCTGCTACCTGCGAGGCGACCCCGGCACTTCTACTCAATGAGCTGCACACTGCGGGAAGCAAGCTCGGCGGAAGCACAAGGTCTCGATGAGGCGGCACGCTTGTTCGTGTTCTGCAACTCCCCGGTCGCCTGCGCCGAGCCGACAGTCGGTGCGATATCGACTGTGCCGCGCGGGGGGGGAACCCCCGCTGGCGAGCATGAAACGGCACACCCACCATGCTGTCCTCGGGCCTCTGAACGGCCAATCTGGGTACGTGTTCTGCGTCATGCCGTTCACAGCGTCTCTGAAATCCTTGTGCCGCTGGCCAAGGGCGTCCGTGATGATGCCGAGGATCCGCGCGTCGCCAGGCGAGCTCACAGGCAGGCCCGAGGACCGCGGGAGGAGCCGCTGCTGGCGGGGCGGCCGCTGCCACAGCTGGCGCGGGGGCGGACGGCGCCAAGGCGCCGGCAGCCTCTGCGCCAGCGGGTGGGACTGCGGCGGGCGCGCCGACCGCGCCGCCTCCAGGCACCAGGGCACCTGCCGCGGCGGCGGGGCCAGCGCCAGGGCCACCCAGCGCCGCCCAACACTTCCCGCCGCGGGGGGGGGGCATCTACCGCAGCGCCGCCCAGCGGGCCCAGGTTGGGCGCCACCCGGGGCGCCTGGGGCGGGAAAACCCAGCCTGGCAGCCGCGGCATCCCGCAGGGCCCCAGCAGCAGCGGGCAGCGGAGGGTGCCGAAAGCGGTATACGCGATCGCCGGCAGCGAATCCCGCAGCCCCCCGCCGATCGCCCCGCCCGGGAGGCGGCCCCACCGCAGCACGTCAGCGCCAGGGGCCAAATCCTCCTCGCACGAGTCGTCGCCTGGAGTTAGCGTCGTCACCAGCGAGACGCCACTTGGAGGCATGTAGATCACCATCCTCTCGTGCCAAATGCGGCCCCCTTTCCGACGTTGTAGAGCAGCACGAGGCCCCGCAGCCCACGGTTGCCGATGAGCTGGTGGGGCGTCCCTACGGAGGCCGCCGCCGCTACAGCTGCCATGGCCAGCGTCGCCTCGGCACGGCAAACTGCTGCCGCGCTTCAGCCGCCAACTTCATCTCGTCCTCCCACGCCGGAGCCACCCAGGCCTGCCCCGCGGCGCGCGGGCTCCCCCCCACCCTCGCGCGGGAGGTACGGCTCGGCGTCCGCAGCACGCCTGGGCGCCCCGGGCACCAGAGGGAGCCCAGCACGCCCAGGAGGCAGCACACGATGGCCACCAGCAAGCGTGTGAGCACGAAAACGTGCAAGAATTCATGGCGCAGGACACTGACCACGCTGCCCGGGCCACACTCCAGGTGGCAGTAGTGCCACGCGCGGCACTGCAGCCCAGGCGAGCAGATGGAGGGCGGGCAGGGCGCAGTGGAGGCACAAAGAACCAACCCCGTCAACAGGCCCCGGGCCAGCTCCGCAACAGCCGCGTGGGCCGCCGTTTGCATGGGCCGGTCCTCTCCCGAGGTCTGATGGGTGCCAGCTTGAGCAAGGACGGCGGCAGACAAAGTCGACGTCCGGCCGCTATCCACTCGCTCATTTCATCCCGTTCTGAAAACTGCACAGGAGGAAGGGGAAGAGGAGGACGAGGAGCAGGAGGGAGGAGCAGGAGGTGGAGGGGGGCCTCCCCGCTTTCCACCTCGTCTGCCTCTTGCTTCCACGACCTCCTCCCCCTTCATCCACGACCTCCCTATCCTCCTCCGCCTTCTGCTCCATCTCCTCCGCCTCCTTCTCCTCCTCCTACTCCGTCTCCTGCGCCGCCTCCTCCGCCTCCACATTATCATCAACAACAACACAGACATTACCTTCCTCCTCCACCTCCCCGTCCGATTTCCCCCCATCCCCGTCGTCGGAGCAGTAACTAGGGAGGACGGTGCAGAGGACGAGAACGAAGGTCGAGCAGGAGGGCGAGGGAGACGAGGCGGACGAACAACGAAGAGGAGAAAGGGGGTGGACACAGAGGAGGACCATAAACAATAGGCAAAGAGGAGGAGGAGGAGGTCAAAGAGGGAAAAGGGACGGAGAAGGAGGTGGGAGGGAGAACAACAGGAGGGATGAGCAATGTGGCGTTAAGGAACACGTAATGCGAAACAACTAAGTACATCAGAGATTTGTTCCGAGATCAACGGAAATGTATTGGATCTGCGCTGACCCCTCCTCGAGCGCTCCGCGGGCCAGGAAGGGGGCTCCAGCGCCGATGCAATAAGTCCGATGGGACCTCAAGAAATATAGAATGCTTCTTCCCAGGAGAGGGAAGAAGGAGAAGGCAAGGGAGGGAGGGAGGACGAGGAGGTGAAGGGACCACCGCCAGAGGTCGGAACAGCCGAGCCGGCGAGGCTAAAAGAGAGTATTTGCCACGCAGAAAGTTGCAGTGGCAAGATCGGTGAAACGCATGGCGCGAAAACAGTCCCAGACATCCGACGACACGATGTTTTCAATCGAGGCGGTTTCCCTCCATGATGCCCTTTCGGACCAGCTGCCGGGCCCTGGGAGGAAAGGAATCGGGACCGCTGGGGCCGCGGATTGTGCGTTGTGCTTTTGCTTCTTTGGAAATATAAACAACGCATCCTCGGATGTGTATGAAATTGCGGTAGGCACGTGTCGTGAAGGCTTCGGCGTTGATCTGTGGCACCGACAGCTTTCCGACAACGCAGATCGTCCGATGTCGGCCGATCCCGGGCCACTGACGGCGTTCTAAACCTTGAACGCCCCCGACCGGGGTCGTCGCTGTGTCGACCGACACGAGCCTGCCGACAGCAGCACGTAGCACTCAATGGCGAGCGTGCGCCAGCACTACCTCGTCTGCCAGCGGCCCACTTGTGCACAGCTCTGGGCAATGAATCGCCACCGCACCGGAGGCACTGGATGGAGTGTCACCAAGTCCCTTGAAGTCCTCAATGCTGAATGTTGCGGATGCTCAGAAACGGGCCCAGACCCCTGGCTCACATAACTTCTGGGCGCTCGTCAAGTTGCCCGCGCTGCCTCTGCAAAGGCTTCGAGAGCGCAGTCTGAGGCCTCGCCCTCCAGCATGCCTCAAGATGGCCCCAGGGTCTGTGCTGGAGGCCTCCTGGGGGGCCCCTGGGCTGCCCTGGAGGCCGTGGTTCGGCGCGCCGCGCCAAGTTCAACATCCTCTTCCCATCTGACCTGAGAGCGCCCAAGACGGCACGAAAAGGCCCACGGGAGCACCCCGAAGCGGCCCCCGAGCGCAAGAGAGGGGCCCGGGAGGCCCCCGAGCCGGCCCCGAGAGGGACCCCAAGAAGGCCCCAAGAGGGGAGCTCGGACTGGCTTTGGGAGCCAGGAGGCCCTCGCGAGGCCCCCAGCGCCAGGAGGCCACCAGCAGACCTCCAAGAGGCCCAGGGAGAAGCCCCCCAACGAAGGGGGGGGCCTCCCAGGAGACCCCGAGGCCTCCCTAGACAAGGGGAGGGCCTCCCAAGAGGGGGGGGATGCCTCCCAGGAGGGGGAGGCCTCCCGACAGGAGAGGCCACCAAGAGGCAGCCAAGAGGGGGGGGCCTCCCAAGAGAGTCCGAGGGGCTTCCGATCCCATGTGCAGTCGGACCTGGGCCAAAAGAACACCCCTCAAGAACATGAGACCCTCCGTCGGCCAAAACCAACAGTACATCCAAGGGAAATTACCCCAGGATGCACCAGGGCACCCTCCCCGGACCGGCCTCGATCTTCTACCTCGGTCCGACTGCAGTCGGATAGGATCGAGATCGGGGTCCTCGAAGCCGCAAAGGCCCGAATCCTCCCTGGCGCGCGGAGCGCGTCAGCGGCGGCGCCAACGGCGGCGCCAGAGGCGCCGCCAGGGGGGCCCAACGCCGATCCAATAAATCCGCGCGGACCTCAGGAAGGTGATGCTCATGCCGTGCTTCCTTCTTCGGGGAGGGAGGGGGGAGGAACCCGACCGATTCAGACCCGCAAGTGGACCCCAAGAGCCCAACACGGCCGAACCTGCCCCGAGAAGACCCCAAGACGGACAACAGAGAGCATTGCCTAGTTGTGGCCACAACGCGAGGTATGGAGGGGGGCCTGGTGCCCCGCGGATGCCTCGAGACGAACCCCTAGTTGCACAAGAGGCAGCCGATGAAACCCAATGGGGCCCGAGCCCAGAGGTGGCTCAGCACGCCTGGCAGAGAACCCGAGGACACAGAGGGCTTCGTGCAAGCAAGCATCTTGGCCTTCGGCCCAACGCATGGCCGCCTGGGCACTGCCACAACAAACGGGAAGCCGAAGTGACTCGCCACAGGCTCATCCGATATCCAATATAGTGTGGTTTAAGCGAGAACAATTATTGAGACTCTCCACGGCTCTCCGAATCTGGTCGAGCTCAGACATCAGCTTAGCCAATTTTCTTTATCAACAACCTCTCATCGGTCGAATTCCACTGGGCCGCGACGGCGACATAGACAGTGACGATCGTGAGAGCACCAAACTTGACCATCGTTCAACGAAATACTGAGGAACAACAAAAACAGTGTGAAGGCAACACTATGTGCAGTGCTCCTGGTCTAGGCTGACAAGCGCATCTGATCCAAAATTGCTTGAAGTGCGGAAACTGGGTGACCGATGGATGAAACATATAAAAAAGATATGCGGGTGGAAGAGTCGGGACGACCATTCCGTAATGAGCTGCAGCCCACGGTTACAATTCAAGGTAACATAGAGGAAGCAAACGATATCGAAAGACGACCAACCATCTACCATCCACTGATACGACTCCGCCTCTGACCACGGATGCGCGCGTGCCCGTGCGCACAACAGCGTGCGTGCCTTTAGGACGCCCGCGACAACACACAGTGAACCTGCAGAGCAAGATAACAGCGGGCGAGGATGTCGCACAGGCGCCTGCTAAGCCGTGGACGCGAGGACGGCTGCCTGGGTCACCGAAGCAGTCGGCATGTGCTCCGGCGTTGGTGAAGGGGCCAAATCCCACCGAACCATTATGCGTACGCAGCTCACGAAATACTCTCGAGGTGGCGATTCAGCCAGAAATACCACCTGGAGGTCGACCTTCAGGAACCTCGGCAGGCGGTGAAGATGGACATTTTTGGCCTCTGGGGGCTTGGACATATCCGTATCCACCGCCGCCGAGGTCCCTAAAGCCGAATGCTCGCGGCCAGATTCGTCGGTAGGTGGTGACATCCGAACCCCAACCCCCACCAACCATCGAGTCTCCTGAACCGATGCGACGAGGCTGGGGGAAACGGGTCGGAGTTCGACACAAGCTCGACGAATTCCGGACCCTACCCCCGCTGCCCATCGAATTGCCTGATTCGTTGAACGGCGAGGGTTGGTTCGGATCCCGCCGCTGCTTGATCCTATCCACGGAATGCTCGCGGCCGGAGGAGGAGGAGAAGGAGGAGGGAGGGAGGATGGAGGAGGAGGGAGAAGGAGAGGGAGGGAGGAGAAGGGCGGAGGAGGGCGGAGGAGGAAGAGGAGGCGGACTCGTCGAGGCAGCGTGACCATAGAGACGGCTGCTGCCGTTGCTGGGCGCACCGCGGCCTCCTGCGCTGCGGCGCAGGGGTTCTCCGGAGGCCTGCGAGGCGCCCGCTCGCAGGGCACGCGCTGGCGCGGAGAACTCGCCCTCTGCCCCGCGGTGCCAGCGAGCGGAAGGTGCCCCCCCAGAGCATCTTCCAGCCTGGCCCCCGCTGGCGTGGCCCGATGTACCCCGGGTGGGGATGCCTGCTGCTCCCTCCGGGTCTCGCGGGGCCTGCTCCCACGCTGGGGGGGAGGTCTGGACGGGCCGAGACGCCGTGGCCCATTGGCGATGGGCACCGGCGAAACAATGGTCTCTGAGCGATGCTGAGCATCTGCCCCTTCCGAGGCCCGCGAGCGGCGAGGCCCCCCCTGAGAGCCCGTCCCTGCCTGCGAACGGCAGCGAGCCCGCCCTCGGCTCCGAGCGCGCGCGCGGCGGCGGCGGCGGCAGGCAGCTCGCTGCGGCGTGAAGCAGGGCCACGGCCTCCCCGGTGGTTCAGAGATGGGGTCCTGTAAGGGATGGCGTCCTGAGGACGAGGTGCCCCAAACAACGCAGATCCTCCCTTGGACCCCTTCCTATCCTTCGGTCCCCATCCCTTGGGGCCCCATCTTTGGACCACCGGCCTCCGCTCCGCTCGGCCCGCTCGAGCTGCGCCGAGGGCTCGCCCCGAGCACCCACCGCCCGGGGCGCTGGGCTCGGCGGCCAGGCCGCTGGGCCCTATGCAGGGAGGCACGCCCGCCACTCCGCAGTGCCAGGCTGGCGGGTGCGCCTGGCAGCTGGCGGCTGCGCCTGGCAGCTGGGCGCTGCGCCTGCGCCCGTGGGCCGAGCTGCCTCAGGCGCAGGCCCCGCCGCTGCCGGCGCGGCGGCTGAGGGCCAATGCTCTGCGCGTGCTGAGGCTGCGCCGAAGGGTGGGCCCCGGTTGGCCCGTGGGTACCGCAGCACGGATCGCGCACTGTGGCCACAATCATCATCATCATCATCATCATCATCATCATCATCATCATCATCATCATCATCAGCAGCAGCAGCAGCAGCATCATCACCATCAACATCACCATCACCACCTTCACCACCATGATCATCACCAGCATCATCATGACATCACCACCATCATATTATTCATAAGTATCATCATGATCAGCATCAGCATCAGCATCAGCATCATCACCATCTTCAGCATGAACACCATAATCACACCCAGCACCTTCGCCATCGTCGCCATCATCATCATCATCATCATCATCATCATCATTAGCATCATCATCACCAACACCATTAGCATCATCATGAACATCATCATCACCGGCAACACCAGCATCACAATCACAATCACCATCGTCGTCGTCTGCATCATCATCAGCAGCATCATGAGCATCAACATCATCAATATCGTCGTGGTGGTCATCATCAACATCACCATCATCACAATCATCATAATCATCGTCGTGACCATCATCATTATCACAATGCTCATCAACAGCATGACCATAATCACCAACATCAGCATACTGCCACTCCTCCCCATCATCGTCATCATCATCACCATCACCCTCATCATCATCCTCATCATCATCATCCTCATCATCAGCATCGGCATCTCAATCATCATCATCATCAGCATCATCATCATCAGCACCAACAGACATTCGATCACCACCACCAGCATCATCATCAGCATCACCAGCACCACACTCATCATCATCAGTATAATCATCACAACCTCCACCACAACTAGCATCACCATCGTCATGATCATCGTCATCGCCCTTCATCGTCTTGTTAATCATCAGCATCATCAGCATCATAATCATACAAGTCCTCATCAACATCAACAGCAACACACCCCAGACCTCCTCATCATTATCACGATCAAACGCCTACTCATAATCGGAATCATGAACATCCTGCTAGCTTATATGACACCGCAACCTTCATCATCACTACCATCGTCACCATCATTGCAGTCACCATTGCCATCACCACCACTACCATCGACACCCACATCACCTTTTTATAACTGTCACATTCGCCATCACCATAGTCACTGCCATCGTGGGCGAAAATCTCGTCGTCGTCGTCTCCGTCACCCTCGTCAGTTGCAGTGTCGCACTGATTCCATGCTGGTCGTCCTGATGCTGCTCCTCAAACACTTCCTCCTCCCCCTCGCACGCGCGGCAGTCTCAGTCGAATGACCACCAGGGGCAGGCATGCAAGGCCAGGTGTCGAGCTCGAGCAGGCAATGGGAATGGTGTCCCCATCAGAAGGAGAAGGATCCTCTCAGCACCCAAGTGAAGGCGAACTGCATCATCAATACATCGTGCGCCTCCTCTTCGTCGCTTCTACAGTGAGCAGGTTCACGCCACGACATGATTGATGGAGCAGAACAACTAGAAAACCAGAAACAATCAGATCCCAGCAGCAATCAACAACGGAAGCGGGTCAACGTGGCGCCGACTCAACGGAGAAAAAACGGGACGGGGATGAGGAGCAGCCGGAGGAACAGCAGCAACTCTTCTCCAGCACCCCAACGGCCCTGAGGGAATGATACCTGAAGCCCAGACGGGACCTCCTCCTCCTCCTAATCCTCCTCCTCCCCCCTCTGCTCCTCCGATAGAAGATGCCGAGGTGTCCTGAGTCAGGGGGTCATCCAACTGGTTCGCAAGCTCCCAGTCCTTCTGAAAGGCCGCGAGCTCCTTGCGGACACACTCTCTTTGTTCGCCCAGGAGCGTCGACAAATGGTGCAGAAGACTCGAGGAGGAGAATGGCGAAGCACGGAGAGACGGACGGAAGAGCAAGAAGAGATGGACGGGCGCACTCGGCATCTGTTCGGGAAATCGGATCGGATCGGAACTTGCGTCGAATCGGGTGGCATCGGCACGGGGTCGATCTCGAATCGGATCGTCTACGCCACGATGAACACCAACGCCATGCAAACATCGGGACACACCACATCGTCGCAAATTCTCGGGGGTACCGTCGGAATAACTTGGGGGGTTCGAAACGGAATACACACACCTCAACGCACGGTCCGTCAACGCATGGATCTGGGATCCTGGAGGCGCAGTCGCCCAAGGCGTTCGGAGATCAACCCAAGCTCTAAACCATGCGGTCACCTCGGTTCCTCACTGACTCACCACATGGTGTGGCAATCGCACAGAATCGGTATTGAAACAGGCCGATCTGATCGACACGAACCCTGCAGGGCCGGGGGGGGAACAGAGAAGAGAGGGAGGGAGAGGTTGACACGGAGCAAGCTGGGCACGATGACGATGAGGAGCGTGTATGAAGAGTGCGAGGACTACGTATGACGAGGAGCACCAATAGCAAGATGAAGATGGATAATACAGAGAGGGGGAGAGAGAGAGGGGAGGGAGGGGGAATGGGAGAGAGGCAGAGGGAGAGCAAGAGGGAGAGGAAGATGACCATCAGTAATGTGACAGAGAGGCAGAGGAAGACGAAGACAGAGAAAGAGGAACGCACTAATCGGGATCTGGAAATAAAGAAGTAAGAGGATCATCAACACCAGGAGGGCGGGAGCTAATAGAAACATGCAATGGGGAATGAGAGAAGACGGGGATCCCGTATCATCGTCATCCTCCTTTTCCTTCTCCTCAATGATCGGGCGGGGCCTCACGCGGCTCTTCTTCGAGGTGGACGGAATCCGCGGGGGAGAGGTGGACGGAATACGAAAAAGCAAGAGGGAGAAGATATTGCGGATATCGAGGAGGGAGGGAAGAGAGGGGAGGGGGGGAACGAGTGAGCGAGGAAGAGGATTAGCAGGGGAATGAAGAAAAGCATGAAGGGGAAGGGGGAGGACAGAGACGAAGACAGGGAGGAGAGAGAGGAAGGAGGCGGACGGTGAGGAGCAGGGAGGTGGTGGGAATGGAGAAGGGAACGAGGGAGTGGGGATGCGGAGAGGTGACAATAGTAGACCAGCGTGTTCTAACGAGACGTTCGTGCGCGATTGTGGTGTGTCGCGTGTACGAGGATATACGCGGGGCTGCTTTTGCTCCTGCTGCTCTCTGCGCGTCTCGCGCCCCCTTTCCCTGCACCGTTGCTGTTGTTGCCGCCATCCCCCCCCCCTCCTGCTCCTCCTCCTCCTCCTCCTCCTCCTCCTCCTCATCTTCCCCCTCCCCATCCCTCCTCCTCCTCCTCCTCCTCCTCCTCCTCCTTCCCCCTCCCCCTGCTCCTCCTCCTCCTCCTCCTCCTCCTCCTCCTCCTCTCCTCTCCTCTTCCTCCTCCTCCTCTTCCTCCTCCCCTCCCCCATTCTCCTCCTCCTCCCCTCATCCTCCACCTCCTCCTCCTCCTCCTCCTCCTCCTTCTCCTCTGTTCTTTTTCTCCGCCCTCCCCGCCTGGGGGCGAGAAGCGAATGGCGCGGCGCGGCCCTCCCGCAGTGTGGGTCAGGGGCAACTCCCCCACAGAACCGCGGGGCTGCCGTTGCTCCTGCTGCCCCCCTGCAGGTTTCGCGCCCCCCTCTCTCCCTGCCCCGTTGCTGTTGTTGCCGCCCTCCCCTCCTCACTCCTCCCCCGCCTCCTCCTCCTCCTCCTCCTCCTTCTCCTCCTCCCCCCCTCCCCCCCCCCTCCTCCTCCTCCTCCTCCTCCTCCTCCTCCTCCTCCTCCTCCGCCTCCTCCTCCTCCTCATCATCATCATCATCCTCCTGATCGTTCTCGCCATCATCTTCAGCAGCATCGTCATTATACTTACCATCCGCATCATAACCCTAATCAGCATCATCATCGTCATCAACACCATGATCATCAGCATCATCGTCGTCATAAGTATCATCATCAGCATCATCATCCTCATCATCATCATCAGCATCATCATCATCACCATCATCATCATCATCATCATCATCATCGTCATCGTCATCGTCAGCATCAGCATCAGCATCAGCATCAGCATCAGCATCAGCATCAGCATCAGCATCAGCATCATCATGAGCATGATCATGATCATGATCATGATGATCATCATCATCATCATCATCGTCATCGTCAGCATCAGCATCAACATCAGCATCAGCATCAGCATCAGCATCATCATGAGCATGATCATGATCATCATCATCAGCATCATCATCATCATCATCGTCATGCTCATCATCACCATCAACATCATCATAGTCGTCATCATCATCACCATCATCGTCAGCCGCGCCATCCCCGTTTCCACCCTCGCCCTTGCCCCTCCCTGCATCGGGCCTCGAAGAGCGGCATGCACACGAACTCAAGGAAGCCCCGCTGGCTCTTGCCCAGCTCCTGGCGTGGGGGGGCACGGGCATCGGGCGCAGATCCTGCACGGCCGACAGACGACGAGAAGGAGCCACGATGAGAGGAGGGAGAGGGGAGGAGTAATGAAGGACAGAAGAAAGCGAGGAGGAGTAGGAGGAGGAAGGGGAGGAGGAAGAGGAGTAAGACCCGTTATGTTTTATATTCGGGAGCGATGACGGCCATCACCTGTTGGGGGGAGGGGGCTGATGACGTCACGTTTCGCGCCGGCGGCGTCCAGGAATGCCCAGCAATGACCTTGGACGGGTAGCAGCAGCATGTAGGAGGCGATCTGCACCACAGCGCCTGGGTACACCTCAATGCCTGCGTGCACCACAGCGCGTGTGTACACCGCACCACCCATGTACAACACAACAGCCGCGTACAACACGGCGCCAGTGTGCACCACAGCTCCTGCGTGCACCAATGCGATTGTGTACATCACGACGCCTGCCTACACCACAACAGTAGCGTGCAACACAAGACCAGTGTACACCATGGTGTTTGCGAGCACCACAGCGCCTGTGTACTTCACGGCGCCCGTGTGCAGCACAGCAACTGTGCGCAACAGAGCACCATTGCTACATGTAGAATTGCTGAAGGAATCCCTATGACAAAATGGAACGCCTGTGCATTCCACAGACAACAAGTGTCTCACATTGGATTTGGAAAAGGATCCGTATGGAAAAAAACAACACCGCTGGAATCTATGAGTCCTCCCGGATCCTCCCGCAACATCCTATTTCCTCCCATCTGCGTCCAGAAGGCTCCCGCAGAATTGACCGTCCGAGAACCAAGTGGACTGATTCAATGAACCATTTTGCGGTGCACGCTGAGATGTGCACGTGCGCTGTAGCGCCGGCCCGCACCACGGGGGGAAAGGTGAGGGAGGAGGAGGATGAGGAGGAGGGGGAGGGGGAGGAGGGAGGATGGAAGAACATCGCATTGCGTGGTGTTTAGCTGTCCGCAGCAGATTCTCACCTACATGGTCCATCTACTTGTCCTGTGCACGCAGGCGCTGTGGTGTACACCAGCGCTGCGTTGCACGCGGATGTTGTGGTGTACACAGGCGCTGTGGTGCGCACAGGCGCTGGGGTGCACGTAAGCACTGTGTTGATGTGCACAGGCGCTGCGTTGTACATGATTGCTGCGGTGCACACTTCCGCTGTGGTGTACACAGGCTATGTGGTGCACGCACGCACTGTGGTGTACACAGGCGCTGCGTTGCACACGACAGTTGCACTGTACACGGGCGCTGTGGTGTACACGTGCGCTGTGGTGCACGAGAGCACTGTGGTATGCACAGGCGCTGTGGTGCAGATCGCCGCCGACATGCTGCTCCTGCTTGGCCTCGGTCATCCCTGGGCATTCCCGGACGCCGCGAGCGCGGAACGTGACGTCATCTTGGGGGCAGGAGAGCGGCAGGGCTGGTGACGGCCCCGGAAAACAAAAAAACAAGCTCTCATGAGGGAGGGAGGGAGGGAGGAGGGATGAGGAGGGGGAGGAGGGACGAGGGGCGCCAACTACACGTCCGAGCGCGCCAAAAAGGGGCGAGAGGAAGGGCAAGACCAAGGGATGGACGAGGGAGGAGGGAGGGAGGAAAGATGTTCGATCTACGACCAAGCACCCCAAAATCAACGAGGAAATCGCAGAGAACCGTGCCGATCACCGTGGACAGGGAAAGAGGCCAGGTAGAAACGGGACTGGGAGGGATACCGGAAGGCTCGCCCCCGGAGAACAGTCGGGCGACGAAGACTCTGCACACACGCACCGATCCTGGCAGGGGACCCGTCTCCCGCCCGGGCTCGGCTCCCCGTGGCAAGCCAGCCAGGCCAAGGGGGTCGGCCTGGCAAGGACCGCGGCACGCGCGCGGCGTTCCTGCTCCAGTCGCGGGGGAGGCTGATTACCCCTACCCTTGTCGAGGGCGTCTGTCTTCCCACCGCGGATGAGACTGTTTTCTCCAGTACGGTTGACGAAGCCGCTCCATCAACCTTGCGGCCGACGTCTGGCATGCAAGATCGATTCACACAAAAGTCAATGCATTGGCGCGCGCGTAGCAATCAACTGACAAACAAATGGGGCTACAGGGCTCGTCAACTCTAATTATGGACGGTTGCCGCACAGACGAAGAATGGACAATATGAAGTGATCAACCCGCGCAGCAACCTTCCAGGGATAAGCCACCGAGATGGGGACCTCCCAAAGTGCCTGAACTCACCCGCGAGTGAATTGGTCCCCGACGATTTGGGGATGACTTCTTCGGACCCCAAAAAACTGAACAGATGATCCTCAAACAATGAAGCCCCTTGCCATCCCGGGCGTGCGAACGCCCACGCGTCGAGACACGTGGCGCCCTGGCGTGCCCCCATGAACCCTCTGGCGAAACAAAACAACGGGAACTCGTTCCACGTCGCCCGCCATTCCCGCAATCGCGTCCGAGCGCAACCGTTTCTACTCCGCGCGCCCTGACAGAATGACGAGTCCCAACACCGAGCAAAACACGCTTAGCTTGGCGAATCGCAACCTCCCCAAACGAGGTGCGTCAGCGATTAAGCCAAGGACGAACGCGCGCCTCCAAACACGCACTCGCGCAACCAGCAAGTTGTTTCCCCCGCACAGGGGTTGGGCTTAGTACTTCGATGCGGATGGGATCCCAGCGCAGGGGGTGGAGGAGGAGAAGAAGAGGGAGGAGAAGGAGGAGGAGGAGGAGGAGAAGAAGGAGAAGGAGGAGGAGGAGGAGGAAGAGGCGGAGGCGGGGGGGGGATGAGGAGAAGGAGGAGGAGGAGGAGGAGGAAGAGGATAGAGGCTTCTGGACGATGTCGGCCTTCTCTGGCCTCGATCGGACGGGGAAGGGGGGATCAAGGCGTCAGATGCTCGGACGCCTTTGGCCAGAGCTGGCCGCCATGGGAAACCCACGGGAGCCTCCGGAGATCTCCGGGGACCTGCGGGATCTCCGAGGGCGACCAGAGGCCTCCAACAGAGAAGGAAAGGAGAAGACGGATCGAGGGAAATCCGCCGACCCTTCGAGTTGTTGGAGACGCTGTCGTCGTCGTCGTCAGTCCCAAGGAATTTGAGGAACAAGGGAAAGGAACGGCGCAGAGAAGCCGAAGGGAAGCCCCTTCCCTTTATCCCTTCACTGCCTGCAGGGGGGTGCGGAGGGGGGGGTCCCAGGTCCCAGGTCAGAATACCGCCCCCTCGGGGTCCTGGCGGGTGCCAGGGGGGGGGTCACCAGCGGGAGTCCCGGGGGAGGTCCCGACTTCAGGGTCAGCGGCACCGGCCGTAAGGCCTTCGCTGGAAAGGAGAAACAGGCAGAGGAAGGAGGAGCCGGAGGAAGGAGGAAGAAGGGGGGAAGGCGGGATGGATGGAGAACAAGCAGGAGGAGGAGGAGGAGGAGGAGGGGGGAGAAATATGGGCAAGGTTCGGGGATCTTCTGACCCGGGTCAAACCAAACCCGGGTCAGCAGGAAACCAAAAAACGGTAATGCAGGAAAGAACAAAAAAAAACACGCAACGCAGGTCTTCGCACACCCGGGTCAGCCAACATGCGCGGCCGCCTCGCGGCCACGAGCGACTCGCTGACCCGGGTCAGCCCGAGGGGGTCTTCGCAGGATCCTGCAGGATCCGGTGCCCTGGCCGACCACCGTTTGCATTGACCCCCGTCTCTTGTGGTGGGCCTGTTTTCCACCACCACCACCATACGTTGGAGGGGGGAGGGGGTCCTCCCCCTCTTCTTCTTCCTCCTCATCCTCCACTTCTCTCCCCCCTCCAACCTGTGGTGGTGGTGGACAGCACGCCCATCACCGTGAGCCCCGGAGGGTGTCTGGGAAGGTGGCCATCGGCCGCCGCCGCCAGCCCGCAGCAACTCTTCGTCGCCCTTGGCCCCGTAGCTGGGGCCCCGAGCGGCCGTTCGGGCGGACTCCGGCATCCCCGGGGCGCCCTGGACAAGGCGCGGCTAATGTCAGGTCGGGCCTGTCCCCCTACAGGGGGATTTTCGACGAAAAATTCAAAATACCCCACAATTACTCAAAAAAAGCCCCAACATACTCAAAAAATAGTCCCCAGACTATGTTCTGACTATTTCTGGATATTCCCCCTGTAGAGGGACATGCCCGACTTAAGGCTGATGAAGCCACCCAGGTCCCGAAAAAGCTTCGAGCACGCCAGAACAAATCGAACGAAAACCTGCAGGGGAAAGGACAAATGGGGGGGAACCATCTCAGGGGGGAAACATCGAGCTTGGATCGGTGATGCATCGCCGATAGACCTGCGAGTCCCCCGATAGCAAGAACACGCGCTCCTGGGCTGGATGGGCTATCAGGCCTATATCGGCGATCAATGGACGGTTGGGGTCCGATGCTTTACCCCTGTGCCGATGCCCCCACAACGTTGCCCCTGCCACCTTCGACGCCTGGTGGCTTTCGAGTCAACTCAGGCCTCGAGGGAAGACTCCAAAAACGCTCCCAGCGAGGCGCAGTCGCCAGAAAACATAACGCTCTCGGCGAGGCGCAGCCGCTGGAAGGCATCCCGAGGCTGGAGAAACCAATCGAAAACGCCCGAGGACCTCACACCTCGAAGAGCGCCAAGAACATACCTCAAACCTCGAAGCCCCCTGATTCCTCCCGTCCCCCCCTTCCCAAAAAAACGCTCAACATCGGTCCCCGCATCCCTCAGCTCCTATGTGTGTGTTTGAACATATATATATATATATATATACACACTAGAACCACGCGCGCGCTTCGCGCGCGCTTAGGTTCTAGCAAGCGCAGGCGCTTGACAATACCACGGCTGCGCGCATTGACAAAGTCACGGCTGCACGAATGCAAGTACCGACGAATGGCTTCAGCATGGGTTGAAGCCGCCACCGCGCCTGCGTTGTGGGTCAGAAGCATATTGGATGCTTGTTGGGGTCTCTTGCGAAGCTTCCAAAGAACATTTTCGAGGCAATTATGATGCCTCGTGGGGCTCGTCCTTGGCTGCTTGCGGACTGTAGGGGCTTCTTTGGGGCCTTCAGTGGGCTTCGTGGGGCCTCTGGAGTGCTTCTTGGGGCCTCTTTGGGGTCTCTGATGGGGGCATTTTTAAGCCGCTTGGGGCCTCTTGGGGGCCTCTTGGGGGCGTATTGGGGCGGAAATCTCCATTGTCGGTTCGTGTTCCCCCTCTTTGGCACCTCTTGGGGCCGTCTTGAAGCCCTCTTGGGCCGTCTTGGGCGCCTCTTGGGCCGTTTGGGCGCCCTCTTGGGCTGTCTTGGGGGCCTCTTGGGGGCCTCTTGGGGGCCTCTTGGGGGCCTTTTGGGCCGTCTTGGGGCGATGTTCGAGGCCTCCTCGGCACTCTTGGAAGGTCAGAAGCCCGAAAACGCGGGCAAGCAAAGAACATTGAAAACCACAATGAAAATCTATGAATTTAGCCTCTTGGGGCTCTCTTGGAAAGCCTCTCGGAGCGCCCCTGGGGCTTCTTGGGGGCCCCTTGGGCCTTGATGGGGCTATCTTGAGAGTCTTGGAGCGCTCTTGGGCCGTCTTGGCGGCTTCTTGTCGTCCATGGAAGCCGTGGTGGACGCCTCCGGGGGCGCAAAAGAGCCTCCGGCCGCCCGGGGGCAAAGTTGGTTACGGGGGGGGGGGGAAAAATTCGGGAGTGTCCCGGCCCAGGGCCCTGTCCCCCGGTACCACGGTATGATATATATATATTATATATATATATATAATATATGTATATATATATATACATATGT